GGTGGGGGGTGGTCTTGCTCAGGCTGGTCTCAAAATTGAATTCGTGAACTCAGTGCAATCCACCCGCCTTGGCCTCCCAGGGTGCCAGGATTACAGGCATGAGCCACTGTGCCTGGCCCAATTAATCTCTTCTCTTTTCTTTCTTTCTTTTTTTTTTTTTTTGAGACAGTCTCTCAAGCTGTCACTCAGGGTTGAGTGCCATGGCATCATAGCTCACAGCAACCTGTAACTCGGGCTCAAGTAATCTTCTTGCCTCAGTTTTTCTATTTTTAGTAGAGACATGATCTTGATTTTGCTCAGGCTGGTCTCAAACCTGTGAGCTCAAGCAATACACCCACCTCAGCCTCCCAGATTGCCAGGATTACATGCATGAGCCACTGTACAGGGCCATTAATCTCTTTTCTGATCTTTATTATTTCTCTCCTGCTGGCTTTGAGTTTAGTTTATACTTCTTTTTCTAGTTCCTTCCACTATAAAAGCAGGTAGTTGATTTGAGATTGTTCTTATTTTTTAATGTAAACATTTATAACTATAAATTTCACTTTCAGCACTTTCTCTGTGTCCCATAAATGTTGGTATGCCGTATTTTTGTTTTCGTATGTCTCTAAGTATTTTCTACTTTCCCTTATGATTTCCTCTGTTGATCCATTTGTTGTTTAATTTCCACAAATTTATGACTTTTCCTTTTATCGATTTGTAACTTTATCCCACTGTGGTCAGAGAATATATATTATATGGCATCTATCTTGTGTTTGGATCTTCTATTGATCACTGAGAGTGAGGTACTGAAATCTCCAGCTTTTATTGTAGAACTGTTTCTTCCTTTAAACTGTCAATTACTGCTTCATGGGTTGTATTTTGATATTCTGCTATCAAGTGTATAAATGTTTACAATTGTTACATCTCCTTGCTGTATTGAACCTTTTACTAAAATAGTCTTAACAGGGAATATATTCTGAGAAATGCATTGTTAGGGGATTTCATCACCATGTAACAACAATAATGACAGTCACTCAGCAAGAAAACAGCTGTGACACAATGATATACCAAGGTTATGAAACCTTAGCAAGCTATTGGTACAGCGCTGCTGTAATTTCAGGCCTCATATTTAAGATAGTTGTGCTAAAACCATTGTCTAGTACAGCTGTTCTCAACCTGTGGGAACTGTATTAAAGGGCCATGGCATTAGGAAGGTCAAGAACCACTGGTCTAGTAGATCCATCATCAAGCCATTTTCAGTGATAGCATCTGCAAGTTTATTTTTTACCTTTGAATAGGGCATACTTTCCTGATTCTATGTATGCTTGGTGATTACTTTGTTGAAAACTGGACATTTGAATCCTATTAATGTAGTAACTCTGGAAATTAGATTATCCCTCAAACCAGGGGTTTGCTGTTTTTTTGTTTTACTTTTTGAGTTTTGGCTGCTGTAGGCTGTCTCTGTACCAAGGATCAGCCTGAAGCATAAATTTAAGATCTTCTCAGGTCTTTTCTGAGCCTTCCAACTTGCTCTGGTCAGGCACAGTGACTTAATTTCCCCCATGTATTCAGTTGCTTTTGATTGTCCTAGTCATCAATATCTGGCTGTCACATAGAAGGAAAAAAATAAAGCGTAGAAGGGAAGGAAGGTACTAGCCCTTACACCCTAGGTGTCTTGGGGGGAAAGGTTTGTAACAAAGGGAGAGGTGCAACAATGGCCTCCTTACAACTCTGTGATCAGAAGCAGCAACATGACGAGCAAATCATGACAAGAGCAAATTTCCCGTATTTGGAAGACAGGGTCCTTTTTGCTCACCCTGGGTCCCACAAACTATGTGCAAGTTGCTCTAGGAACAGCTGCCTACCACAGGGCTAACGGTGGGTAGACAGCTACTATTATGCTAATAGCTGAAATTAAATGAAATTAACCACAATTTACCATCCTATTCTGGAAATAATTCCTCTGGCAGCTGCAAAACTTCAATAAACTCCAGGGTTCCAAAATAGTTGCATCAGTTTCTGTCAGCACAATCCTTATCTAGGTAGGAAGACAGATTTTTGGTGCTTCCTACTTTGCCAACTTTCCAAAATCTCTCTGACACTGTTTTTTAATTGAACAAAACATACACTTAACAACACTTTCTGTGTAGAGAATAGATTCAATGGGTGGTATGTGTGTGAAGGCATGTACATGCTGAGTCATAAGCAAAGTTGGATCAATTAAAAGGCTGCTGAAATTCAGGCACAAAAGTTAGATAGATGATGATGGAATAGGAAGCTCCAAGAATTGGTCCTTTCATCAAAACAACTATTGAGATGGCAAGAATTATTCTAAAGCAACCATTTTAGAACACTGGAGTTTAATTAAATACTTGCAATATCCAAAGGAATGCTTGATGAAGAAAAAGGTTCATGAGTTTCAGCATCTGGCATAGCACAGCCCTGTGACAGGCAGGTGTGGGGATAGTGACCTGAATTCTTGTTGCAGCTTGCTAGTACGTGGCCTTAACCTCCAAAAACTCAGATTACAGGAGTTTATTGTTAGTTTGTTTAGTTTTTTTGAGATAAGGTCTCACTCTGTTGCCTAGGCTAGTGTACGGGTCCTCAAACTTTTTAAACAGGGGGCCAATTTACTGTCCCTCAGACCATTGGAGGGCTGGACTACAGGCCCTGGGACAAGTCGGCTGCTAAGTAGGACAGGCAATGGCAGCAAAAACACCTGGCAGGCCGGATAAATGTCCTAGGTGGACCGCGGCCATAGTTTGAGGATGCCTGGGCTAGAATATATCATCATAGCTTACTGCAACCTCAAACTTTTGGGCTCAAGCAATCCTCCTGCCTGGAATTCCCAAAATGCTAGGATTACAGGTGTGACCTACTGTGCCTGGCAAAGGTTATGTTTTGATTACCACTTCTGATTGCTAAGGAGCTGCCACAGAGGCTGGCCTTTGTTTCAACCCACACAGTTGAGTGGTTTCTCCAGCAGTAATGTACAAGTGGATTTAAAGAGACAGAATGTTTTTATTTATTTTTTATTTTTTATTTATTTTTTGAGACAAGGGTCTTTTTTTTTTTTTTTTAGACAGAGCCTCAAATTGTCCCCCTGGGTAGAGTGCCGTGGCATCCCAGCTCACAGCAACCTCCAACTCCTGGGCTCAAGCGAGTTTCCTGCCTCAGCCTCCTAAGTAGCTAGGACCACAGGCACCCACCACAATGCCCAGCTATTTTTTGGTTGCAGCTGTCATTGTCGTTTGGTGGGCCCGGGCTGGATTCGAACCCGCCACCTTACGTGTATGTGGCTGGTGCCTTAGCCACTTGAGCCACAGGTGCCAAGCCGAGACAAGAGTCTTACTCAGTCACTATAGGGTTAAGTGCTATAGTGTCACAGCTCACAGCAACCTCAAAGTCTTGGGCTCCACTGATCCTCTTTTCTCAGCCTCCCGAGTAGCCAGGACTACAGGTGCCTACCACAATGCATGGCTAGTTTTTCTATTTTTAGTAGAGATGGGGGTCTGGCTTTGCTCAGGCTTTTTCTTTGTTTTTAACTTTTTGTTTTCTTACTGAATCCAAGCATTTTTCTTTTTTTTGAGACAGTCTCACTATGTTGCCCTCAATAGAGTGCTATGACATCACAGCTCACAGCAACCTCAAACTCTTGGGCTTAAGTGATTCTCTTTCTCAGCCTCCCAAGTAGCTGGGACTACCGGCACCTGCCACAATGCCCTTTTGTTGCAGGTGTCATTGCTGCCCAGCTGGCCCAGGCTGGGTTCAAACCCACCAGCCTCAGTGCATGTGGCCAGTGTCCTACCCACTGAGCTATGGCACCACCTGAATCCAAGCATTTAAATAATCTCTATCAATTCATTGATAGACCACAAAAATAAAAGAACAGAGATCTCAGTGATCACACACTACCAGGAATATACTCTTTGCAAAAAGTTTGGGGAAAAGTCCTTAAAAAAATGGACTGCTATAGTTTTTATCAAGTAATAGTAATCCCTATGGAGGGAGTAGGATTTGATTTCCAGAGTTATCACATAATGTCCACTTCTGAGCAAAATTTTGCATAGCAACCAAAGAAACAGGAAGGAATGGCCCATTCACAGAGAAAAAAGAAACTGACCAAAATAGAGCAAGCCCAGAGAATGGACTTACTAGACAAAAATTTTAACTTGTGTTAAATATGCTCAAAGAGCTAAAGAAATCATGAACAAAACTAAGGAAAATCAGAATAATATATAAGGAATAGCAATAAAAGGATAAAAACTATGAAAGCCTGGGCAAGACAGTAAAACCCCATCTCCATAAATAAAGGGAAAAAAACTTAGCCAGAAATGGTGGTGCACACCTATAGTACCAGCTATTTGGGGCTGAAGTGGGAGGATGGCTTGAGCCCAGGAGTTTGAAGCTGTGGCAAACTATGATCATGCCACTGCATTCCAGCCTGGGAGACAGAGCTAGACTCTCTCTCTGGAAGAAAAAAAGAAAAGAGAAAAGAAAAAGAATAGAGCTAAGGGGACTACTGGGATACTCTCAAGTGTATTAATGGCTAAATCAAGCTAATTAGCATTATGTATTACTTCACATAGTTATCCTTTTTTTGTGGTGGAGAACACATAAGATCCATGCTCAGCAATTTTCTTTTTTTTTGAGACAGAGCCTTAAGCTGTCACCCTGGGTAGAGTGCCATGGCATCACAGCTCACAGCAACCTCCAACTCCTGGGCTTAAATGATTCTCTTCTCCCAGCCTCCCAAATAGCTGGGACTACAAGGGCCCGCCACAATGCCCGGCTATTTTTTTTTCTTTTTTGGTTGTAGTTGTCATTGTTCTTTAGTAGACCCAGCCTAGATTGGAACCCACCAGTTCTGGTTTACTTGACTGGGGCCTGAGCCACTTGAGTTACAGGCACCGAGCCAATGCTCAGCAATTTTCAAGTAAACAGCATATTGCTATTAACTATCATCACCATGATGTACAACTGATTGTTTCCACTTATTCCTCTAGTCTAAACAGAATTTTAAAAATATGGAATACGTCCCTTATTTGCATGTCATACTCAGGGGCCATGCTAATCTTCTCTATGTAGTTCTAGCTTTAATATGTATGTTGCTGCAGTGAGCACTAAACAACACACTCTTAAACACTAAATGGATGAAAAGATGAAATCACCAGGGAAATAGGAAATTTAGGGTTGTTAATGCCTATATAAAAAAGCTCTCAGGCAGTGCCTATGGCTCAAAGGTGTAGGGCGCTGGCCCCATATACTGGAAGTGGCAGGTTCAAACCCAGCCCCAGAAAAAAAAAAACCTGCAAAAATAAATAAATAAAAATAAAAGCTTTCTATAAAAAAATTTTTTTAAAAAAGCTCTCAAGTCAATAATCTTTTTTTTTCTTTTTAATAAGAGACAGGATCTTACTTGGCCACCTAGGCTGGTCTGTAGTGGTGTGATTATAACTCATTATAGCCTTGAACTACTGGGGTCACGGGATTCTCCTGCCTCAGCCTCAAGGGTAGCTGGGACTACAGGTGTGCACCGCCACCACTGGGACTACAAGTGTGCACCACCACATACACACACACACACACACACACAGCTAATTTTTTAATTTTTTGTAGAGATAGGGTCTAGCTATGTTGCCAAGAATGGTCTCAAATTTATAGCCTCAAGCAATCCTCCAACTTTGGCCTCCCAAAGTGCTGGATTACGGGTGTGAGCTACCATTCCCAGTTAGGAGAAAATAATTTATAAACCACATACAGACATACCTTCCAGGTTCAGTTCCAAACTACTTCAATAAGGTGAATATTCCAATAAGATGAATTTCTTGGTTTCCCATATAGCATATGAAAGCTATATTTAAGCCAGCCACAGTGGCTCGCATCTGTAATTCTAGCACTCTGGCTAAATATGGGTTTTTTTTTTGCAGTTTTTGGCTGGGGCTGGGTTTGAACCCACCACCTCCAGTATATGGGGCCGGCGCCCTACTCCTTTGAGCCACAGGCACCGCCCTGTAATCCTAGTACTCTGGGAGACCAAGGTGGGTGGACTGCCTGAGTTGAGCAAGAACAAGACACCATCTCTACTAAAAGTAGAAAAATTAGCTGGGCTTTGTGGCAGACATCTGTAGGCCCAGCTACCAGGGAGGATTGAGGCAAGAGGATCACTTAAGCAGAAAGAGTTTGAGGTTGCTGTGAGCTAGGATGCCCTTACTCTACAAATGGCAACCAACTGAGACTCTGTTTGGGGGGCGGGGAGAGAAGAAAATTATAATTATACTATACTGTAGCTTATTAAATGTACAATAATATTCTGCCCAGGTTCAGCTTTTTTTTTTTTTTTGAGATAGAGACTTACTTTATTGCCCTCGGTAGAGTGCTGTGGTGTCACAGCAACCTCCAACTCCTGGGCTTAGGAGATTCTCTTGCCTCAGACTCCTGAGTAGCTGGGACTACAGGTACCGACCACAACTCCCAGCTACTTTTTTGTTGTAGTTTGGCCGGGGCCAGGTTGGAACCCACCTCCCTCAGTACATGGGGCTGGCACCCTACTCACTGAGCCACAGGCACCGCCACCCAAGAATCTATTTCTTTAATAATAAAACCTGAAAGTAAAAATTATTCCTTGACCCATGGGCTGCAAAATGGATGGTACTGTTAGGCATGAAAATATTTATCTCCTTGAATATTTCCATCTAAGCTCTTGGGCATGCAAGTGCATTGTCAATGAGCAATAATATTTTGAAAGGCCAGGTGCGGTGGCTCATGCCTGTAATCCTAGCACTCTGGGAGGCCGAGTTCAAGACCAGCCTGAGCCAGAATAAGATCTCATCTCTAAAAACAGCCAGGCATTGTGGTGGGCACCTGTAGTCCCAGCTACTTGGGAGGCTGAGGCAAGGGAATTGCTTGAGCCCAAGAGGTTGAGGTTGTTGTGAGCTATGACACCACAGCACTCTACTGAGGGCAGCAAAGTGAGACTCTGCCTCAAAAAAAATTTTTTTTTTAAAGGAATCTTTTTCTGAACAGATCTCAACATTGTGATTAAAATATTCACTAGCCAAGCTCTAAAGAGATATGCTATTGCCTAGGCTTTATTGTTCCATTGATAGAGCATAGATAGAGTAAATATAGAGATATAACATAATTCTTAAGGGCCCTAGGATTTTCTGAATGATAAATGAGCAGAGGCTCCAACTTAAAGTCACCAGCTTCCTTAGAGCTTAACAAGAGAGTCAGCTTGTCCTTTGAAGCTTTGAAACCAGGCACTTATTTCTCCCCTCATGAAGAAAGTCCTTCCTACATGTCATCTTCTTCCAACAGAAGACTATTTCACTGTATTATCTACATTGAAAATCTGCTGTTTAGGCTCAGCGCCTGTGGCTCAAGTGGCTAAGGCACCAGCCACATACACCAGAGCTGGCGGGTTGGATCCAGTCCAGGCCTGCCAAACAACAATGACAACTACAACCAAAAATTAGCCAGGCATTGTGGCGGGTGCCTGTAGTCGCAGCTGCTTGGGAGGCTGAGGCAAGAGAATCACTTAAGCCCAGGAGTTGGAGGTTGCTGTGAGCTGTGATACCACAGCACTCTACCCAGGGCGACTCAAAAAAAAAAAAAAAAAGGAATAAATACTGAAGTGTAATATATGCTACAATGTGGATGGACCCCCAAAACATGTTAAGTAAAAGAAATGAGACACTCTATTTGACTGCATGTTTAATATCCAGAACTGGTTGGGCAAGGTGGCTCACGCCTGTTGTCCTAACACTCTGGGAGGCAGAGGTGGGTGGACTTCTTGAGCTCAGGAGTTCAAGACTAGCCTGAGCAAGAGCAAGACCCCATCTCTAAAAAAAATAGGCGGGCGTTGTAGCGGACAGCTGTAGTCCCTACTACTCAGGAGGCTGAGGAAGTGAATCACTTGAGCCCACTTGAGGTTGCTGTGAGCTATGACACCATAGTACTCTACTGAGGACAACAAAAGTGAAACTCTAGTCTCAAAAAAAAAATTGCAAAATAAAAGAACTAATAATAAATCAAAATATCCAGAACAGATAAATCCACAGACACAGAATAAAGAGTGCTGTTTACCAGGGAAAGAGGTATCAGGAAACAGCGGATATAGGAGTTTTTGTTTTTTGAGACAGAATCTCACTATGTCGCCCTTGGTAGAGTGCTGAGGCATCACAGCTCACAGCAACCTTAAATTCTTTTGGGCTTAAGCGATTCTCCTGTCTCAGCTGTCCAAGTAGCTGGGACCACAGGCGCCTGCTGCAACGCCCAGCTATTTTTTGGCTGTAGTTGTCATTGCTGTTTGGCAGGCCGGGCTGGGCTTGAACCAGCCACCTCTGGTGTATGTGGCTGGCACGCAAGCTGCTTGAGCTACAGGCGCCAAACTGGATATAGGGTTTTCTTTTGGAGTGACGAAAACATTTTGAAACTAGATAGGGTTAGTGGTTGCACAATACTATTGTCATACTAAACGCCACTAAACTATTCACTTTAAAATGGTTAATTTTTGTTATGTGAATTCAACTTCAACTTAAAAAATGAAATAAGAGAAAGGGAAAAAACACAAAATTTAGTCTCTTTCACTCATTTTTTTCTACAACTCTATTGAGATGCAATTCATATACCATACAACTTAGCCATTTAAAGCGTATAGTTCAGGTCGGACACAATGGCTAACGCCTATAATCCTAATCTGTAATCTGGAAAGCTGAGGCGAGTAGATTGCCTGAGCTCAGGAGTTCAAGACCAGCCTGAGCAAGAGCAAGACCCTATCTCTACTAAAAATAGAAAAATTAGCTGGGGGTAACAGCAGACACCTATAGTATCAGCTATTATGGAGATTGAAGCAGGACGATTGCTTGAACCCCGGAGTTTAAGGCTGCAGTGAACTATGACAATAATACTGCACACTAGTCCAGATGACAGAGAAAGACTCTGGTCTCAAGTTAATAAATAAATATAAAGTACACAATTCAGTTGTCTTTACTAAAGTTAGAATTGCACAATCTCACCACAAACAATTTCAGAACATTTTTATCACCCTAAAAAGAAACTCCCAAACTCATTAGCAGTCATTTCCCATTCCCTCTTCCCCTAGAGCACTAGTCAACCACTCATCTATCTTCCTTCTCTATAGATGTGCATATACTGGACATGTCACAGAAGTGGAATCATATGTTATCTGGTCTTTTGTGACTGATTTCATTTATTCATCCTAATGTCCTCAAGGAATCTTCTTTACTTTTTTAAAAGGTCATTTTGGTGGCTAGGCGTGGTAGCTCACACCTGTAATCCTAGCACTCTGAGAGGCCAAGGCGGGTAAATTATCTGAGCTTGAGGGTTCAAGACCAGCCTGAGCCAGAGCAAGACCTCGTCTCTAAAAGTAGCCAGGCTCTGTGGCAGGCACCTGTAGTCCCAGCTACTTGGGAAGCTAAGGCAAGTGAATCACTTGAGCCCATGAGTTTGAGGTTGCTCTGAGCTATGATGCCAGAGCTCTCTATTGAGGGCAACAAAGCGAGACTGTGTTTCAAAACACTAAAAAAATAAAAAGTCATCTAAGGTTCAAATTCTTTACTTTTACTATAAAGTTTGTGCCATGTATAAAAATACAAAACACACACACACAAAAAATACAAAACTAAAGTAAGCGGAATATTAAAGGACCACTTGTGAAAAGAACATGAAGCAAATCAATGAAGATGAATCTTTCAAAATTTAAACAGATCTGAAGATGAAACCATTACAAGATGCAGTAGAAAACAAGTGAACAGGGTAGAACCAAATACATTAGGGAAAATATCCTACCAAAAAATAGCTTGTTAAAGAGAACATTTTTCCTAATAAAGGTGAGAGACAGATCCATTGATTTTTTTTTTTGAGACAGAGCCCCCCCCCAGTCTAGAGTGCAGTGGCATCATCATAGCTCACTGCAACTTCAAACTCTTGGGTTCGATCTTCCTGCCTCAGCCTCCTGAGAAACTGGGACCACAGGCCCATGCCACTATGCTCGGCTAATTTTTCTACTCTATTTTTTGTATGGAATACAAAAGAGATAGAGTCACACTCTTGCTCATGCGGGTCTCAAACTCCTGGCCTCAAGCAATCCTCCTGCCTTG